TTATTTCTATTAATTTTTCTTTTCTTTGTTAAATGAAAGTAAACCGCAGAAAGGAAAAAAAATTGGTGCGAAGAAAGCAAAATTGTTTCGAATTGTCTCAGAATGATACATTTATCAAATATTCCTTTCATTTTTCTCGTATTTCAACTTTTATTCATTAATCATTTTGAAACAATCAACAAATAACGAACAATTATGCTTTCGCTAATGAATTACACATTCCAAAAATTCTGTTACGACGGAGGAAATTTTTCAGCACACGAAAAGAATGGAAAAATTTTAGTTGATGAAATTACTGCGAATTGCTATGGAAAAAAAAGAACAAAAATGGAGAAATTTCAAATGGTTATTGAAATTGGAAAGTTTTATTTTTAGCCGAAAACAATATTTTATAGCTGAAGTTTTTGTAAATATTGCAAGAATTGTAAGAATCATTTAATTTATAATATTTATAGAAATTAATCATTTTTGATCAGAAAAAAAATTGTCGTAATTAAAAGTTATTTCTATCGTTGTGGAAATTTTTAATCAACTTTTGATGACTGTAATTAATAACTTTATTGAGTTAATTTACTCTTTTTTTTTGCTTGCTATATACATTATTTTTATTTTAATACGATGTGTATCATTTTTATTATAATTAATTAGAAATGATTGTATATTTGACAATATTTCCAAGGATGCAGTCTTTTTTACTGTTTTATTAAAGATTGTTTTGACTATTAATAAGTTTTCCATGGTTATTTTTTTCTTTCTTTTATAAATTTGAAAAGTTGTTAAAATTCCAAAGATGAACAAATGAATTACAGAAATTGAATTAATTAATAGTAATTAGCAACATTATGGTATTATTGGTTATGTTTTTCTTTCTTTTTCACGTAATATTCGTATGATATTTTCCTGTAATATCTTTATTCAATTTTTTACAGATTATTTTGATTTAAAAGAGAAAATCAAGGTAAAAAAAAATGAGAAACAAAGGAAACAAAATGGATTACACATTAGTAAATACACGTTTACTAAAAAAAAATAGACTGTTATTCTTGCACGATAATTGCATTTAATTATATCAAATTTATTTTTGATAGAAATAAAAAATAAAAATATTATTAGTTCTAATTTTGAAATCTGATTCTTTTTTCCACTCACTCTTCAACAAAACATTATATCGATGTAATAATATTGTTTGTTAAAATTATTTTTTTCTGTTTTTTTTTTTATTTACAAAATATTTCATACAATAATATTGAATGCAGTTAAATACGTGGCCCAAAATTAAACTAAATAATACAAAAATTAAGTAATTATGAACGATACAATGAATGAATATTGTGATAAAATAATGTTTACTTTATGTTTGCTTTTTTTTCTATAATTTTTCCGAGAGAAAAAAAAAAATTTCTACAATGTTTCATTGATGGTATTATTTTCATTTCAGATTTTTATCCAACATATTGGATAAGTTCATTTCTATTTTGTTCACTGCTTGGTGCTACTTCAAATTGTTGTACACCGTAGGAAATCGGTCTCTGTGATTTTGCATATCCAAGTGGTGGTGGTGGTGGTGGTGGTGCTGGTGCACGAGGTTGTGCATAAAATGGCGGTGGTGGTGGTGCTGCAACTGGAAATGATGGTGGTAGAGCATAACCAAAACCTGGTGGTGGTGGTGGACTGAAATAAAATAATTGCTATTACAAAAATGAAATGGTAAAAAAAAAAAACAGAGGAAAAAAATCCTCAAGAGTTAAAAAAATGATTGAAATAAATTTTTAGTTTTATTTTTTTCTTTGGCTAAGAATCATTAGCTTATTGTTGTTTTTTTTTTCGTTTTATTTACTTTTATTTTTTTTTTTGTTTAGCTAAAAATTATTACCCTTATATATAGCTTGTTGTTGTTGTTTTTTTTTATAGCTAAAAACAAATTTTTTCATGAAATAAAAACTAAAAAAAGAATAATAAATGAATTAAAAATAAATGAATATAAAAAAAAAGATGAAAAAATTTTTCCTTCTTTAAAAATTCACCCTTTTCCTTTGCTACAAACACCACAACAACAACCAATACATGCAAACGATGATGTAATTGACATTGCAAATATAAGCATAACAATCTGAAATTAAAATCTGATAAAGAAAGAAAAATCAAAAAAGAAAGGAGAAAAACAGAAGGAATTATAAAAAGAATTAATGAAAGTGAAGGAAAATTGATTATTTCAAAACAATGTTAATGATATATTTGCCTCAATGATAATTATCATTAATTATCTGGGATATATGAATTTTTTTTTTTTTACAATTTACACTAAATTTCGTTTCAGCATATTATCATCCACTCATGAAAATAGTAAACTTCAGAGATTTTTTTGGAATAAATATCAGGTTTATAATAGACCTGATATTTAAATTTGAAAAAAAAATAGGAAAATAGAAAAGAAACAAAAAAGAAAAGAAAAGAAATCATCTTTAAATGATATTCATCATTTTTATATAACTATTTTCTTCCTCCAATAAATTTTACATTTGAATAATTTGTTCACTAATTATGACTATTCTATTTTATTACTTTACAAATCATATCAACAGTAAATAATTCAAAAAATAAATTCTAGCAATAATTTAGACTTAAATTATTTTAAACAATTATTAGCAGTTGAGGTATTACTGATTAAAACAGGCAAACCTGAAAAATATGCAAAATAAATATTTCAAAATCATCGGTCTGTGTTTTTTTTTTTTAATCGAAATGATTATTTGAAGAAAAAAGAAGCTTTTTTCTTTGATTAACTAACATATAAGGCGTTGTAATTTCCACGATTTCTTATTGTTGTTGACATGATTGAAAATAGCTTGAATTTGATAATTTAAAAAATGTTTTCGTCAAAATCGTGTCGAAAAAAATGAATTTAACTGAAAACAGTTATTTAATATATTAAATCTGGAAATGATTTGGAAGGATTATCTGATAAGATGCGAAAAAAAAATTTTGTTTAAAGTTTTTTTTATTAATTTCTGTATTCA